TTTTTTTTCAAAATTCTAATGTGAGTTCCCTTTTATGCAACTTAGATCAATTGATGTCTTGCATGAAACATGTACAAACATACTTTGAGTCAATAACTTTTTAAATGAGATAATGGTATAATAGTTGACAAAATTATTGTTTTATACCAATGGTGGTCTAAGTGCACACATACAAAGTAATTATTAAATTGAATGTTACTAGCTAGACATGACAAGGGAAGACAATTGCTAAATTTTTTGAAGAGAAAAATTTTCCTAGTAATTTGATCAAAATAAATAAAATAAAGTAAGAATTTTACATTTTTCCTAGCAGGGTAGAAAATTTGGGGTGTTACACTAACATGCAACATAACACCTCTGTTAATTATCTACATGCTCTTATCAGATATATGATTCACTGAATCAATGTCACAAAGAACAACAAGATCATCACTAATAGCATCAGTCACACGATCACCATCATCATAATCCTTCTCTTTCTGATTATTTTTCTTGACTTTATTCTCCTTCTTCTACTTAAAACAACATTTTTGTATGTGCAGCTTTTTATGACAATAATGACACTCAATTTCTCTATACCGAGACCTAAACTTGCTTCTACTATTATCTCTACCACCCTTCAATTCCTTCTTTTGGCTTTTCCCCTTTTCAGTAATAAGCACCCCTAATTGAGAAGAAGCACTTCATGTCTTTCTTCTCATCTCCTTATTGAGAGCATTAATATTTTCTATTTGGGAAGAAACAACAGCATAAAGACAACACTATTCAATGAGTTTTCCCCCCCTTATTTCACCATCTAGTTGTAAGTGATTTTATCTTTTGTTATAAATTGTAATCCTTTCTAATCATATTAAAGTTTTCTAGTTAATTATCAAATACTAGATTATGTTCATTATATAATAACTTTAGCTTACTTACTTGTTTGTTTATATAAGTACTTCCCATTTAAATTAAATAAATTCTTGACATGTTAACTTTTATTTGTCCTAATTTTATTCACTACCAAAATTACGTGAAATATAAACAGATTTATAGATGAATTTTTTAAAATTTACAGATAGATTTTGTAATTACAAACGAAATCAACTTGTTTGTAATTTTTGCGTCGGTAAATCAATATAGATGAATTTTTAAATCTATCTGTAAATTACCAATGAATTTTTTTGTATGTAACATTATAGACAAATTTTTCTGTCTGTAACATTACAGACGAAAAAAATCTGTCTCTAATATTTAATTTTATTTTTTTATTTACTTGTCATCTTATTTACTTCTCCACTGAACAAATTTGAGATTCGTTTGGATCACAGGACAGTGCACTCACGTTGGTACAACTTTGAAAAGTTTGGGTTTGGTGTGTTGAAGTGTGACAAGAGGAATGAAAACAAGTTCTCAAGTAGGATACACCTAAGAGTGTGTCTTGAGGGTGCTTATCATGTGCTAGATAAATTAATAATGTATATTAGTGATATAAGGCCAACTGCTAGGCAGCTTTGGAAGCAACCAATTGGAATATTTGAAGTTAGAATTTTGAGTGCTCAAGGGCTGTAACCTGTGAAGACAAAAATAGTAAAAGGTCAACAAATGCTTGTTGTGTGGCCAAGTATGAATAGAAATGTGAGAGAACTAGAACAATCATTGAGAGCTTCTATCCAAAATGGAATGAGCAATACACATGAGAGTCTATTCTATATCAAAAATTTAAAAACTAAACTGGTTAAAAGTTAGAGTATCATAATAGGAATAGAATGGTGTAATTTGTTTTCCAAATGGATGCTTCAACCACTCGTAATGAGCAAAGAACTGAAGATGGTAGAGAAAGAGAGGGAGATGTAAAAGAGATGGAAAAATGAACACTAAGGGGAAAGAAGAAGGAAAAACGAGGTATTGATCTATTTCACACGTTATAGATGAATTTTTCTGTCTGTAACTAGTTTAATAAAACACAATATTTAAACACCTTAGTTACAAATAGAGTTTTTTTTGTCTATAATTCCCACTCAATATTACACGTCTTAGTTTCAAATTATAGACAGATTTTTTCATCTGTAATGTCAGTCTGTGAGATTTTACAAATAAATTATTTCATCTGTAAATAGTTGTATGAAAGGTAAAAAAATATATGTTCCAAAATATAATAGAAAAATCTATCTGTAAATTATAGATAAATTTTTTCATTTATAATGATAGTCCAGAATGTTAAGCGCCAAAAAACAAGCTTTTTACAGACAGATTTTACATATAAAAAAATTTATCTATAATTTACAGATGGATTTTTTCAAAAATTAAAAAAAAATTAATTTTTCTAACTTACCATAAGTAAATCTGTTTATATTACAAACGAAAAAAGTTCGTTAGTAATATCTATATGTAATAGCATGTTTCTAGTGATTTTGAATACTACTAATATCAATTCATAATTCTCTTTATACCATTACGGTTAGCATTTGTACTCTAACATATTAACCCTATTTCAAGCATCTCCAAAATTTTACATAAAGAATAAAAGAAATTTACGTAACAATTTTTATCTTTAAAATATAAAATAAAATAAATCTAAAATATTGTGGATAAGTATAAAATTATTTTAGTGAAAGAACATGTAATTCACATATAATTTTCAGTCAATATTAATTTTAAAAATACATATGACTAACTATGAAATAAAGTAACTATAGTAAATATTTTACTTCCTAAATAGTGTATTCTCGTTTGTAGTATAGAGATTAATTTTATCAATGTATCTCTCTTGATATTATTAAAATTATTTTTTATAATTGATACTATATGTGATGATTGTTAACTTGTTTTAATAATTTATTAATGTTTGAGTTATATATAAGGTTTGTTTTTGGCATTCGTGATAAATAATCAGGCTATTAATGTTGTTAATAGTAATAGTATGCAAGCTCATCATTATTACTACTTGATAAGTTGTTTAAACCTCGAAAGTTCAAGTTTTTTGAAGTGATTGATCAGTGAGAATTGATACAGAATTAAATTTCACATGCCTTGTGTTGTTTTGACTCTTATAGATTCTATGAATTTAATCATGTTTATATGTCAAAATTTTATGTATACAATGATGTAATGTCATGTTATAACAACATTCTTCAGGAGTAGGTGTTTTTTCGAAAAAAACACTAATCTTTCAATAGAAGGATCATTAATTAATTTTCTTTAGGTACATTAAAAACATGTTTATAATCTCTTTTGAAATATTTAGTTTTCTTTAGAAAATGTTGATTTTTCTTGTGAAAGATGTTAATTTTCTTCAATGAGAATAATGTTTCAATAGAAACATGTTTATAATCTCTTGAGATATTGATAGTATTTTAATTTTTCTTTTGGAAAATATTAGATCTTTTCTAAAAGATGTTAATTTTCTTTAATGGAAATGATGTTCTAGTATAACCATGCTTATAATTTCTTTTGAGAGATTGATGGTTTTTTTTATTTATAAATTATTGGTCTTTCTTGTGAAAGATGTTAATTTTCTGTAATAAAAATCACATTTCATGTGTTTTTACACTTGCACACTCATAGACATGATCATGCTAATAAAGTCATTAGTAAATTAGACACTAAATATTTTCACTTGTGACTCTCAGCGAATGATTTTTGAGTTGAGATGATTTTTTGTGGGATAATTATTAGGTTTTTAGTGACCACAAAGTTGTTTAACCTAGAGTCATTTTCAAATACATTAAAAGCCTATCAATATTGCCTAAGTGAAAGAAAGTTAAAAAAATTTGAATTTGACCTTTTATTGATTGATGGATTTGTTTTCATAAGACATGTTGAACGAATAACCTAATATTTTTCTGTGAGTTGATATAATTATGTGATTTACTATATGTGAAAAGAACTATTTATGTTATAATTTTAAAATATTTATTGGACCAAAGTAAGTGTATAGTGTAAGGCCTAATCAAGAAAAAACTTTAGATTTAGGGCATGTTAGGTAAAAATTAGTTATTGTTAATAAACAACTTCATGATCTTCTCTCCACTTTGAACTCTTAGACTGTGCACCTTTTCTATCAAGACGCTCAATGGCAAGAGAAGGAGCAAGAGAGGAAGATATTATTCATGACGTATACAAACATATATATTTTTGCAAAATTGGCAAGATCATTTAATCTTCGAGAGTCATGTAATTTATTATTATGGTGTTATGAATTGTGTAGTACAGATCTAATTAAAATTGCTTACGCTTTGTTTGTTATCGAGCTTGAGTCAAATACAATATTAAATAAATCATTTTAAATCTTTTAATTATAGCTTTAATAACATTAATTTTAAAAAATCAATATTTTTATCATTTCTTAAATTAAGCATTTAATAAAAAATAGTATAAATATTTATTATTTTAAAATATAAAATAACTTAAATTATTCTTTTTTTTTTGTCGTGCTTTAAAATTATTCTTATAAAGGTGTTTGTTTAAGTTTATAAATACAGTGAAATTATAACTATTCTTATAAATATAACTAAGTGGAAAAAAAAAGGTACCCACGGCCGCATCTTTTGTGATTAGCAATAAAGAAACGCGAGGCGTGAAGCAAATGGTAAATGCATGGTAAGTGAATTGGTCATATTCTAGGGATATCGAGTTGAAACAAAGTTTGAAATTTAATTATATTTTAATCAGATATCAAAATCACATTTTTTAGTGTAATAATTGGCTGGCAGTTTGAAAGAATATAAGATTCCTTTGACGCCCCCTCGATTATATTCTCATTTCAATGCATCTCTTTATAGTTTTTTTTTCGCTTATGAGTTATTATTGTGCCATGAAACAAACGGCACCGCTCACAAATACGCCTATGAGCACACATGCTTTGACTTCTCACTTTAGCTGTTGCAATTTGCATAGCATTGCAACTTGCTAGCCAATAGCCATCTTTCAAACATTTGACTTCTAATCCTAACACTATATAAAGCAACACAACCCCATCTATTTTCCTCATCCCAATTTCAATTGAAATCTCACAGAAAATGAGCAAGGCAATAACACCAATCCTGTTACTCCTACTCACATTGCTTTCTCATACCACACCTTCTCTCTCAGAAAGATGCCACCCAGAAGACAAAAAAGCCCTTCTCCAAATCAAAGAAGAACTCAACAACCCAACCCTTCTCTCCTCATGGAAACCAGATGCTGATTGTTGCCACCTAAGCTGGTACGGTGTCGGTTGCTATCCTGATCATAACCGTGTTGGCTCTTTGATTATCTCACACAGCGACGACATTGTAGCCCAATTTCCACCTTCCGTTGGGAACTTACCATACTTGGAGACTCTATACATTTCGAGTTTTCCATATCTCACTGGCCCAATACCTCAATCCGTATCGAAACTCACTAATCTCAAATTTGTCACAATTTCCTTGACCAACGTATCAGGCCCAGTACCCAATTTCTGGCCCTCTAGTAAAGGCCTCGTTAATTTGGATCTCGCGTTCAATAGCCTCTCTGGAACACTCCCTCCCTCACTCAACAAGTTCGAAAATCTATCAGCGATCTACTTGAACGACAACAAGTTAACAGGACCAATCCCTTATTCGTATGGGTTCTTCAATAACAAAAACCCACCCGATTTATATTTCCCTAATAATCAACTCTCGGGGCCACTCCCACTGTCCTTGGCAAGGTTAAACTCGTCCCTTTTTGACTTTTCTAATAACAGGTTTGAAGGTGATGCTTCCATGCTTTTTGGTTCCAACAAAGCGACAGCGTCAATAGATCTTTCACGGAACATGTTTTCTTTCGATTTAGGAAAAGTGGAGTTGTCTAAGACAATGACATCGTTATATGTGAACAACAATCAGATATACGGAAACCTACCCGTGGGAATAGAAAATATTTTCTCATTGAACGTGAGCTACAATAGGTTGTGCGGTGAGATTCCGAAGGGTGGTAATATGAAGAGATTTCATGTGTCTACGTTCTTTCATAACAAGTGCTTGTGTGGGTCTCCACTTCCACCTTGCAAGTAATCATAGTTTCTTGAAGGGACTTCAATAATTTCTAGTGCATTTACATTTTCGAAAGTGTGGTAGATCGATTGTGTTCATTTGGCTAGTTAAGGGTTTTATTGTTTTAAGAGTCAGGTGTGGTTTTCAAGGATCTATGGAGACATTCATTGATAACAGAGAGCAGTTATAAATATTAAATTTTTTACTATGCAATATCTTGAATTTAAAAGAGTGATTAAATAACTGCTCCCAAATATTTATTTTAGAGAACGGTTTCACGTGATTAACCGCATAACCAAAATTTTAAAATAATTGCACATTGCATTATTCAATTAGAACTCAAATGAAAGATGAAAGACTTAAGATTTTGTATTTGTACAAATTACAATCAGAGTTTACATTGATAGGAAGAAAATAATCTCATATTTTTATTTTTTGCCTAATGCCTTGAAAGAAAATTATCTAAGTCTTGTAAAAAATACTATAAATCTATTGTGCTTAATGTGTCCTTTAAATATCTATGATATAGATATGCACACCACTCCCTTTGCACGTGATGAATTTCATTGTAAGGAAAAGTTGCCATCTGGAACTCTGGAAAATACTGAATACAAAACAATAAAACACAAAACTTAATTAATTAAGTTAAATAATAAGCATATAGCAGACAATTAACATGATCAAATAGGTTCTATGATACTGGTTTAGCTTATGTAAGGGTCGTACATTAACTGGGATTACAGTTTGTCTATGGTGCAAAGCATCTCCAATGAATAGACACTCATAATATGCACAGTCATCATTATTTGTTTACTTTGGACACTGTGTGGAAGATAAAAACAAATAAACCAGCATTAACACAGAGAAATATACAGTGCTATTAATATTAAGTTGAAAATTAAAAACACATTGTATCATAGTGTTACCTGTACAATGACCCATCTTGTTTGATGTATCTTTGTCCTAGAGAGCTGCACTTCTTTCTCTGCTCGATATGTTACAAGAGTACTAACAATGGTGCATGATAAAAGTTAGATAAATTTGAACCTGTGATGAATCCACATTTTACTACATTTTTATACATCATTTATTACTTTTTATAGAAAAGAATAGACTTAGATAGTGTAAATAAGATGAATATTCCAATTAGGCTAAATAATATAGGTTTCTTAGTTTTTTTGTTAATTTACATGGATTTAGATAGTTTATTTTACATATTTTGATCATTTGAATAATATGGCAGGAATCCCCAAGCTTATTTTAAAGAATTATTGGATTTTGAGGAATTCGAGGTGAAAGTAACTACTTTCAAAATTGATAGTGACAACTACAGCAAGCCACTTTCAGCAAAGAGACCAAAGTGATTACTTTCAAAGCTTAAAGTGACAACTACAGCAGCCCAAAATCCACTAAACCTGTGCGTGGTTACTATGAATATTCATAGTGGTCACTCCAGAGCATGCAGAATTGAAGGTGCTGCACGTAGTTACTATCAAAATTCATAGTAATCACTCCAGAGAGGAAAAATCCAACTGATGCTGCGCGTGTTTACTATGAAAGAATGAAAGTAATTACTTTGGGCGGTGCTAGCTTTAGTATAAATAGATTTTTAATAATTTAGGGTAGAGACTTCTTACACTTTTTGTACCTTTTCTCTTCTTTACTAAATTTAGGACACTTGGAGAGCTTAAGGTGGCCTTGGGTGACAGCCAAGGGTCCAACCTAGGGTTTGATTTCCATTTTCTCCTTACTTCTCTTTGATTTTTGTATTGATGTTATTGATTTCTCTTTACTTTCATTTTGCAATTGTGAGACCCATCCTTATGAAGGGTTAATTTTCTTGTAATCTCTAGTAAGTTCATATGAATTCTTGAATTCTTGTTTTTTGAATGTTAATGCAAATCTTTTTCTTCCATGAATTTCTTCCTCCCAAACTCTTGAATTGAATTAATGGTTGAATGAGGGGAGCATTGCGTAATGAACCCTAATTCGTTTTAAGGAAATTCTAAATTTGAATTGCTTAATTCTTGTTTAATTCCAAGATTGCGTAATCAAGGAATAAGAGATTGGAGTTCATTGGATTGCTTAATTCATATGAAAACATAAGGTTGATTTTCGCTTGTTAAATCAACCTAATTCTGGGAGGAGAGGAAGATTATTAAATCTTGAGAGGAACAGGGATAGAGTTTATATGAATGAACTAGGGGTTACTGCATTTTATCGATTGAACTTTGCAATTTAATTTTCTGCTTAAGTTGATTGAACTTGAAATCACAAAACCCCCCTTTTTTTTACTTGCTTTCTAAATACATTACACACTACATGTTTGATATTTGGTCACTTGTCCAATGATTCATGGGAGACGACCTAGGCTTGCATCCTAGACTACATAAATTTTTCTGCATATTTTGATGAAGGTTCACGACAACTCTTTTTGCAAATGAGAAAATATTTCATTCATCAACCACTTAACATTAATCATAGTTATTTGACATAAATGTATGCTTACTTATTAAATAGGTTTTGCATATGTGTTCTGGTCTTTAGTTGCTTGCGTAGAGGATCCATATAATACATAGTCTCATCAAAGGTATTGATGACAACCAAGACCCAATGTTGCCTACAAAGAGTATAAATATATGTTTAAGATTACAAGAATTAAAAGTTATGTGCTAAATTATAAAACATAAAGCAATGCTCAATCAGATTGACTTACCCAACATTGTAAGGTGCAAAAATCAAGTGATCTTTACTTATATGACATTTCAACATTTCAGGTATATGTTGATGTGGGTTCGGATTGTGCTTTTCGTCCATTTCATACGGAGATATAAATGAGAATCTACTTGTCTTATTTGTCCCATGCAAGCAAGTTTCACACAAATATCTTGTAGTGCAAAAGAAGAATTGAAATGCATTATATAATGAAATGAACAAAAAGTTATAAATTGCTATAGAATTACATAATTTGTAAAGTAATTTATCGTATGTAAAGGTTAATGCTAGAAGCACTCAACCAATGTTGACGTATGACCTATAAAATGTTTTCCTTTCCCACAATGTCATAAAGCTCTTTTTTCCAGTGCTCAGTCGTCATATGAATTGTAGCTGTATCAATGGCTTGATCACTTCTCACAAAAAGCTTCATCCTATCCAAGAATGTAGCACCTTGGGCTTGTGCCAACTTAAGAATCTCTTATGAATGACAAGCACTGCTACCTTTATTAGATGGACCAACAATCGACTTTTTGAGTAGTCTATCTCTTTCCTTAAACCTTTACTTGATGAAAGGGCAACCTGAAATATATCAAAGTACTTGTTTATGTACCTAAATAGAATATATATGTACTATAACATATCAAACTATAAAGAAGCTTGCATACATACCTTGGGTCTTAAAGTGATTAGGGATAATGGCTAAGCAACATAAGTACCAATGACATCTCTCAGGCAAATTACGTTTGCTTGTTCATTTGGGACAGGTAATGCAAACTTTTCCTCATGTTGTTACACTACCTCTATTGAAACTTTACCATGTTTTGGTGGAAGAGCCATATTGTGTAACGAGTCCCTAACCACTATATGATATACTCTCCCTCTTGCAACCACGCGAACACGGGTGTTTAAGTACAACATACAGTCATAATCACCTTACAAAAATAAGTTTGTTATATTCTTTTCTAATTAAATCAAAAGTAGTAAACATTAAAAGGTAAATAAAAGTTAAGTGGAGCTTAAATACCTCTTGAATCTCAACAGATGCAATTGGTGTGCAGCTGCCTCTATGGCTGGTAAAAGGTGCATCTATAGGCATTTGGAGACCTACCTCCACCATTGATTGCATTTGAGGAGCAATATTGAAAAAGGGTGGCATACATGGTGGTGGGGAGGCAGTAGGGTTGAATGACATCTGACTTGACATGAATGGGGGCAGTCCTTAACCCCCTATTAACTGTGTCACTACATTGGTCAAATGCACCATCCAATGCTTCATGTTCTGCCATTCAGTAAATGATGGGTATGGATATGATGGTCCTAGTCCAAATGCAGATTTTTGGATCACCCCAAAACCTATAGCTCTCACACGACCTAGATGCTCTTTTACACCAAGTGCTTGAGAGAGTATGTCATTTTGGGCTATTGATTCAGACTCAGCCTCTGAGTGACCTGTGAAAGGGTTTCTTACAATAAACACAACATAAACTTGGAGGTCATTTAAGGAGAATTGAAATACAGGGGCAGTCCCTCAAAGTACTAACACATTAGGCCAACCACTTAAAAATTCATGGACCATTTTTTAAACTCCGTCATAATCAATACCACCGTGTTTGTTTACCCTAGCAGCTTTCCATAGGACATGTCAAGGTATAGAGGTCAAATTAGTCCTAGATGTAGCAATCTACACAAAAATTAAGATTAAATGCAAGTGTTAAACAAAACATAAGAGTAAAAAAACAATTACATGGTTACATATCACACAAAATGTAATACCAAATCTTGCTCCAACTAAGTATTTCCCTTAGCTTATTGCCTTTATCTGTAAGACATTCCTTTCACCCATATTGCATTAGCCTCACTTTCTTTCTAATTAGCCATTTATAAAGTAATCAAATCAATTATCAACGGTAAATCAAGTGATAGTTGAAGTAAATAAAAGACAAATTATCTTAAAATCTTTTATGTAGCTTTGGTTGACAAAGTTCTTCTAGCGATCAGTCACTGTGATGAATCTCTAATACTTCTTTGGAGGATGGGGGAGACAATTTTCATCCTTGTCTAAGAAAAATTTCCTCATCCGTGTGTGAAATGCACGAAGATCCCATCTTGCTAATACAAGAACAATATCTTTGTGGATAGGTTTCACCTCAAAAGTTTGCTACATTCGAAACAAAACACATATCAGATACGACCACAATTTTCTACCAATATAAAATTACTGAAAACAATAATATTTACCTCTACTTGCTCCTATATGTGTTCTTTAAGATTACTAGGCACATTTGTCAAATCAGAATAATTGA